TGACAAGACCAAACTTCAGGAAACATTTCTCCTTGCTATGGTCCACTAAGAAAACAGAAACTTTTGAAATCCCCCATCCTTCTATAGCGGGATTAGTTTTCGATGCATCTAGAATCAAGGATATGTTGCATGCATCTTGGATTGCTTTTTCTGTTATAGAAAACTGATTTTCAAAGTCATTTAACTCCACAGAATCTGACTGAGGCTTGCAATTGATATGCCAAGCTAAAACTGGCTTTAGAGTAACAACCAACTTGCAAAATGCCTCAAAATCCAAATATTCTGCTTGAGGATATTGTTTCCGGTGGTAGTAGTTGTAAAGCAACACAACTGCATGCAGCTGAATCCAAAAGGGGGAAATAAAAAGAAAATGAGTGAAAACCATATAAGGCTACAATGCATCATAACAGTCCAACTCAGACTACATGAAGTTGGTAGCATTTTGGATATGTATTCAAGAATGGATAAAAGAACATGGTTGTGGTACGTTGGCAACAATCATAAAACTGCAGCCACTCTTATGATCATGAAACAAGATGAGAAGAATTCAAGTCCTTTGATCACATAATGTATGGTCCTTGTGCGCTTCATGAATTATAAGACAATTGAGTGGCTCAAAATTCACAAATGTGTGTAAGTGCATTCTTAGTTAATAAATTAACACATTTGAAACTCCAAATGCTAAAAACCAAAAGAAACTAACCCGACCTACTTTGGACCCCATACCCAAACTGATACTAATAGGTTTAAAAAAAATTGCTAACCGAACCTAAAGATGAACAAATCCAAAATGACACAGTAAAATTGGGTCAAATTCAAAATCATGTACTTTAATACTCCCTTCGTCCCCATAAAAAGTTCTCTTTAGTATTCCAAGGGTCAAAGTATATTTTTTTTCTTTACGCACATTCATTGATCATTTGATAAAATCACATAGTCAAAACTCGTTTTGTATAACTTTTGATGTACTATGTAGTTTTTAAATACACTCGTACAATTTTTATTTTTTTTAAATTCTACACCAATTTTAAATAAATTCAAATGAAAATAAGTTTGTTCAAGCATTGTAAACCAAAAAGGGCTCTATTTTTGGGCGTACGAAATATAAAGTGATAAAAATCATGTTAACATTTTCTTCCATTTCACGTCATTTTATTGTATAAACTTATCTAACGAGTTTTTAATAATATTGTATTGTTATATGACTATATTTCACATTCGTATATATTTGAAATTTTTTTCTTTGTTTTATACTATTATGGTGCATATTTAAAAATTATTTAAAATTTTATAAGAAAATATTGGAATAGCTTTAACTAATATAGTTTAATACTCCATCACAGCCATTTTTCTTCTTAGTTATATGAGGGCCAAAGTTCAATCACTTTGCTTAATTTCATTACTCATTTGAAAAAATAATACAACGTTCTAACTTCTTGTTTTGTAAAATTTTTTATGTAATTTTCAACGGCACGGTTCCATGGCCACTGGATTCCAGTGGCCATGGAACCGGACCGAATTTTCAAATATATAAAGTTTATGTATTTTTAAATTTCACCTCAATGTTCATATAAATTGGATCGAAAATAAACTGAATCAATCATCATAAGTAGGAAAACTATAATGGGAAAATAAAATCAATCAATCAATTTTTTTATGGAAAATAGATTCAATAAATTCAATCAATCAAAAATAGATAAGGCAAGCAAAATATAATTATTTGCCAAAAAAATGAACAACAGCCAAAAGAAACATCCAAAAACACTGAACAATAAAAAAAGTGTAAGACCTGTTTGGCTACGGATTCCTGCTTATTGAGAGGCGGAGGTCCGGGGGGAATGCGCATTGGCAAGTGAGGCTCCACCAACACATCCATCAGCTCGTTCACCAAGAACTCCTTGGGGACGTCCTCAAGTCGGGATGCATCCATTCTCGAATGTCCTTCTTATAACCCTAATTTAAAACCAACAAAAAGATTGAAATTCAAGTCATGGAACAAACAAGAAATCAACTACTGCTCTCAGGTACTTCAAGGGAGAAATTATTTTATCCAACCAGAAGCTACGAATTCGGCCTGCATCAATCAATCATCATTCTAAACAAGGAACAGTTCAAATCAAAACGGAAAAACAAAACTCATAAATCTGCTGGAAATGCAATTCGAGAGTACATTTGCTTCTCACCTCGATTACTCAGGGAAGTACGGCAAATGCAGGCGTCGACGGGAACGAGGAGGAAGAAGAATCCGGCGGAGAAGATAAGGCGAGAGATGAGATGATTCTCAGAGAGAGGGGGTGTGAATGTGCATGTCACATGTGGTGCTGCTACGATACAAATACGGATACAAATACGAATACGAACAGAATACAATACAGATACAGTAGTGTACAATACGCTGCGCGAGGAACTCGTGCCGCTCTCATGCTGAATTGATTGCAGGTTTTCTGGCGCATTTATTAGTGAGTTGGAATAGTGAATTGTCTTCTTCCCCGCGAATCCTTCCTCTGGTTCTTACAGTCTGAACACGTTCTTCTCCCTACGCACCCCTGGGTGGTGATGATAATCGTGATAGAGTTTCCTTTCCTTTTGTTTTGTTTTGTTTTGTTTGAAAAAATTGGGAGATACTGGTGATTTCAATTTGGAGCATGCTACAGTTGTACTAAAAAATATACTCCATTTGTACATCACAGTTTTGCACAAATATTTTGATGGTTTACACCGACACAAATGTTGGTGCGTTAAAAAAAATTTACATGTACACAAATGTTGGTGCGTTAACAAAAATTAGTTTTACACCAACACAAAATGTTGGTGCAAAACTGCGGGGTACAAACTGGGGTATAAATCTTGGGGTACACGTAGAATAATCCTTTCAATTTTTTTATTTCAAGTTTCTTATTTTATTTTAAAATTAATTTGTTTAATTGTAATAAATGAAAATAACTAAAGAAGAACTGTTATCAAAAACAAAAGAAATGACTGAATGTTACTCCGTATAAAAATTTGATACATCAAGATTATATTTTAAAATTAATCTAATTTATTAAATTTATATTATAACTAAATATATATTTTTCGTAATTTATAATCAAAATATAACATAGTTTAACCAAAAAAGTTAAATTATGATGATTTTTTTGAGACGACGGGAATATATATATTTAAAACTACATACTTCATAAAAATTTCTTTAAAAAATGTGACATGAATATTTGATACTCCGTATTTTGAAATGAATATTAAAAATCCGCAAGCAAAATAAATAAAATTTAGCCGTGTAAAAAACTAAAATATATAATCTTCAATAGTTATATTTTGTGAAATATTCGTATAGTTTGTCTCATACACATGCACTAATGTTACTTAAGATATATGAAATAGTTTTTAAAAATGTAGGTTAGAAATTAAAATCAATCCCGACACCTAATCTAAAATATGGTTATTTGAATATTCGTTTAGAATTCGAAGGCTATCCGAATATCAAACAAATATTTATTTAGAATTCATTTCATATTCGAAAAAATTAACCAAAAACAAATTCGAATACTTTGGTATTTGATATGCTTCAATTCGATTCGTTTACGATCCTACTCACCTTTTCTTATATACGGAGTAATATTTATCAGAGATAAAAGTAAAAATTTTAATAAATTTATTTCATTAATTTTATAAAAATCCAAGACACGTCACATAATTAATACTCGCATGATTAAATTTAATCATCTTTATCTATTTTTATTACTCAATTAATAAAATAAAAGGAGCAGTTCACCTCTTATTATTTAGAATTTTGATATAGTTTTTAAACTTATAATTTTTTTGTTATTTCAAAAATCTTGAAATAAATTAAATTAAAAATAATTTGAATAAAATATTGCAGACTGCAAGGATATTCTTTTTTTTTTTTTTGTAAGGGGGGAGTTTTGTTTTAGTGACTAAAGTATCACAAAAAAATCAAATGTGAAGTTAATTGCAGAATGAAAGGATTATATACTCACACTAATAACCATTATTGTGCTAAAAAAATTAGTACTCGTAATAATCTAATGCAGTAATAGTAATGATATCTTGGAGTATCTCATTGATTAATAAGTAGTAATAATAATAATCTAGAAAAGCACTTGAGATTTCGTGAATCATAATCGTAAGGGGATTCTTTGTAGTCCAAAGTAATAAATTTGAATTTATGGTTCCATTTTTAGGTATACAAAACCAGGACATCTTATATAAAATAAAATCACTACAAATTTTTTATGTGAGATTTACAACCCATACTTCTCATATTTAAGTAAGTTTACACAACTAAGAGTCTATGTTGAAAAACTTAACTTCCAACTTCTTCTAGTTGAACACTTACATCGTTTGAATAAACACTAAATTGTTCTTTTATAAATACAGTACGACTTTAGATTCGTTAAAAAATACTCCTTCCGTCCCAATTTATAGTGCATGTTTCGGTTTACAATGTTTGACTAAAATTATTTTCAAATCATTTTATATGAAAATGATATAGAGTTAAAAAATTAAAAATTACATATTAAAATACTACATCAAAAGATCTACAAAACTAGTAGTGACAATAATACTTTATTTTATCAAATTGCTAAGGAAAATAGAGAAAGAAAGTGAATAAAATTTGACCATATGAATAGTGAACATGCATTGTAATTTGGGACAGAGAGAGTAGTTAACAAAAAGGTTTATTATAAAACTTATTTACTAATCTACAATTATGGTTTTAATAGTCTACAAGTATGGATTCTATGACTACAATAACATAAAAAACAATCCATTTAAATAGAACAAAATCAGTTCATTAAAGGCAAGGTCTTTCCTAAAGAGCCTCTCTACTTTTAAGAGTACGAGTAAGGTACGTGGGTACATTCATCCTCTCGAGACCCCACTTGTGGAATCTCGCTCGGTTGTGGTTGGTGGTGGTGGTGCCGTGGTGGTTTGAGTTATACGAGGGCTAACGAAGATAACACCAAAAAACTTCAACAAATTATATGTGAATTTTATAACAATACATCTTGCATTTAATGCGGTTTCTGCAAATTTGCAAGGACCAAACTATGGTTATATCTTGTCAATGGAGATGGGTAACATTAAACCATAACCTAAAAACATAGATGGGAAAAGATAGAAGAAAAAATTTGGTTCAAGATGAGGCCTTGGTAGCAGCAGATTGCTTCTTTGTACCCTCTTGTTTCTTTTCTGAGCCTGCTGCAGCCTTTCTCCGGTCCTTCCTCTCCCTCTTCTTCAAAGCAGTCATTCGAGCCTTCAATAGAATTGCGTAAGAAGCTTGGAAACGCTGGTGATCTTTTGGGCCCACCTATTATCCAGTCAATTCACGTGCGTAATTAGCAACAAGAAGATCTCCGGAAAAAATTAATGTGTGTTAAGTTACAAAGGCTTCTTGGTTCCCGAAAAAGAACGTCCTTCTTCACTCTTAGGAAAAGAAAATGCTACGTGCTAACAGATTCGGGTCCATAACTATGGGTCAACAAAACTTTCATAATCTGCATTTAGGAATACTCTTAAAGGCAAGGTGCCAAGGCATAAGCATGTGCATCTTAATCAACAGAAAGGATGATCAAATTTTAGCCATTTTCAAAAAAAAACATGTGGGTGTTTATGTGAACTCATAGTGCTATGTTCTGTATACCTGCAGTCCTAAATAAATTGTTCACTACGATTTAAATGCCAGCGAGGAGGCTTAAAAACAAAGAAGACATGCTGAGGAATAAGACTATAAGAGATTGTACCGGGTTGATTTATGTACAGAAATCTCACTAAATTTTATATCACCACCAATCTCTCTAAAAACCAAACAATGTGAAAGGACTGAAAGAACTATAGTTATAGGTATAGGCAAATTAAAACACATGACATGACATGCTACTTTAAACAACAATGACTAGCAAAAGATTTAGAGAATATCAATCCAACACAAATTAAGCAAAATAAAATGGATTTAAAGTGCACCCAACAATGTTTACCATGGTTGATATGTTCTTTTTCCCATCGGTTGCTCGAATGAGGCACTTATATTCAATTTTTTCACCAGAAGTCTTCATTTTATTCCGTTGGGATTTGGACTTATCAGAAGCTGCACACTCATGATATAGAACTTTATTATTTTAATCAATAAATGATGCAGCAACGAAATGTAATACGAATATCAACAATATATTACAGTGCTTAAGTGTGACCCAAACAGAGCCCTTTTCCATAGTTCGCTCAAACATGTTTGTCAGTTCATTGAGGAATGGATCTGGCTGTAAACGCACCTAATAAAATCAACAAAAGTAACCAAAGACAAATAATGTTGCATTTAGACAAAACTCTCCAATATTCATTATGCCGAGTATATAATTATGCAGCACATCAGAATATTGATTGGTATACCCGTACACTATTTTAAAGAGCACCGTAAACACATTTTATGACAATTTAAGAGTGACAGCCTTCTCTTTATTTTGTAAATCCAACTCACAACGTCTTGCCATGTCATAAGAAGAAATAACTGAGGAATGCTTGTAATGGGACATTGGGACTTGTGTCCATACAAAAGTATAAGTCTTCCCATTATTTTGTCTATTTAGGTTGCAATTCTAAGTATAAAACTATAAAGAAACAAGAGATTTCAGGTATTTGATATGCTTCTCTAACAGGCATGGTGGAATTGTACAAGCTCCATTTGCTTATCTCTTATTGGCTATATCTTCCACACTGCACCCCTAACCCTAGGTTTAATGTGTCTTCTCCTTCTAGCCACACTTCTCTCTGGGATAAGAATTCAATAACCCAAACATTGACTCCATTTCTCAATCAAGAGTTGGCCATCCCACAAGACAAAAAATAAGATCTAACACATTCTTTGATGATGTACCACTTTTAAATATAACCCCCAAAAAGTGTTGGGTATCTCCCCAATTACCAAATGTTGAATATATTGAAGTTTATTTTACTTTAGTAGTTTAACTTAAAATAAATAATAAATAATAAAATGTGCAAGAGTGTGAAATGAAAGTGGCGTACACAAGGGGGGAGACAATATAATTGGGCTAAGGTGATATCGAATAGTAAAGAAGATTGAAAAGAAGAAAAATATGGCTAGTGATGATGTTGTGTGTAGTCATAATAGCAAGAAAAATGCCATGTTGATTTTCTCTTCTTTCATTTGGTAAGTGGCATTGTTTGCCTATAAAGAGTAGAGAAAGCCTCTGTGTGGGGGTGGATGTGCTTCTTGCAAGACTAGAGAGGGTAGTTCCTCTTGTGAGTTGTGAGAAAATATCAATTGTTGTATTATTGGTGTATTGATTGTACTCCAATTGATATTATCCAAGTTTAATCCAAAAGGATCGTGGTTCATTCTTAGTTTAGAGGAAGTTCCAAGTAAAAATATTAGGGGAACTTACGTAAATAGCACTAAAACATAATGATTTTTCCTAAATAGCATCATTGTCATCGCATGTGTTTTTTTCCCAATGTAGCACTTTTAGTCATTATTCATTAGTCATTGTTCAAGTAAATGTTCACCATCAATTTATTAAGTGCTATTTAGGGAATAAAACAGTTTAAGTGTTATTTAGGGAAATGACTTAAGTTTTAATTCTATTTAGTGCAAATATTTCAAAATAATATGTGTTGATCTTTTATTTTTCTTCACATTTTCCTCCAATATTTATTTCCAATGGTGTTCTTTGAGGGTAATTTTCCCAACAAAAAGAATAATAGCTTTAGGGCCGCCCTGCAAAATTTGACCAAGCAATGTGCTACCTTTATTCCTATCGCCCATTCTGGGACAAATCTAAACTTGTAAACCAGATACTATTCAGACTTAGAACACATACTAAATTGGCAATTTAAGGGATTCACAGTGTCGAATCCTGCACTGATTTAACAAACTTATTCCATACAATTTATCGGGAAAACTGAAGAGATAGATTTAAATGTATCATGAGAAAGATCCGTATAGTATTTACATATATCAGTTCACTGTAATCGAATTGTTTCTTCGTAAGGATCGTACCATGTGTAAACGAGCAGATGGTGGCGAAAGCTCCCTTCTTTGCTTTGTCGATCGCCGCTAGTCGGAGCACCGCCTGTGGCCCAATGAGAGTTCAGTAAGAATGTTAAAGATGGAGAAAAAAATATGGACCTCTTTAGAAATCCCTAAAAATATACAAATAATATATAGGTCAAATTCTATGGTGGACCATAAACTTACATATAAGTAAAATAAGTATTTTTACTATCTAAATAAGTATTTTTTAAAATAAAATAATAAAAAAGATTTTTTTATGTGAGAAAGTCCACAAAAATGATATGCATCTAAGAGCACTGGAAATACTCGTGAAGCCCCGGGGCTTCAAAATTTCTCTCTTTGCCACATCAGCTTTAACTTACCTCACAGATTCAGTGGAAATGGGTTTGAAGCCCCGGGGCTTCAAATAGGGGCTTCAAACCTTCATTTTTTTACATTTTTAAATATATATCTTCTAAATTTAAATTAATAAATTTTAAATAATTTATTATTTGAATTAATCAAAAGGAGACTAGTGCATTAAAAAAATTACATTCATTAAAAAAATATTACATTCATAACAGAATACATTAATAGAAAAAAGTTACATTCATTAAAATAATATTACATTCATAAAAATACAACACTACAAAGAAATACTAATTATTCGAGCGACTAAAAATATCTTCATTCAAATCCGAGTTGTAGTAACATATTGCAAACTGAAATTATTCATTAAATAAAAAATACAGTCAATAAAAAAAGTATGTTAAATTTAAAAAAAAATTAAATACATTACTAAAAAAAATTTAAACAAAAAAATATTACATTAAACAACAAAATATAGAGTAAAAAAAATTATGTTTGTGTATGTTTTGTTTTTTTTAAAGAGAAAGAATATAAAGAGTAAAAAAATATATTTAATCTTATGGCATTAATGTAATTTTGTGTTGTTTTTTAATGGATGAAGCCCGTTAAATATTTGAAGCATGAGACATGAAGCCCGTATGAAGCCCCAAGGGGGCGGTGTTTACTGCCCCTTTGGCGTTAAAAGCACCAATAACGCCCCCGGCGTTACAACCAATTCCAGTGCTCTAAGGTGTACTAAAGAAGCACTCAATATATACTTGTACACTCGTACTAAGTACGCAGTATACTACTAGTTCTTATCTTTAAATGGACATAACATATTTTTATCTCTGAAATAAAATTTTACATCATAATAATGTGACATTGTATATTGATATTTCATACTTGGCACATTCTTCCATAGTATTAAGGTCCGCACTCATTTTATAGACTTTAGTATATAAATACTATAGATGATTTTTAAAAAATAAAATATCCTCGTGTGGGCTATGAAAAATATGAGAATGTCTATATTTTACATGTGGGCCTTAGTATCATAGAAGAACTACTCTTCATATTTCTACGTCCTGTAAAATATTTTTTGTTTTGACTTTTGAGAAGGAAAGCTGTAGAAGTTTGATCAATGTCAAATAATGATAATTAAAACGAGTAAGCCTCAAAAATGTCAAAAATGGGTAGGGTGTAGAAGACATTGGTATACGTTCGGTTATATTTAAGAAAAATATGGTCAATTGTGTTCATTTAGGCCAAATCAAAGTATTTTATGAGACATATAAAATGAGAAAGTTAAAAACTTTTACATAAAAGAGGAAGTAGTATATTTTGGTATTATACTTTGACACTATTAGTCATATTCTAGAAATAAATACATAAAAATCATATTTTGATTCTTCCCATATGATTTGACCAAATTTTAGTTTTTTTCTCAAATTAAGATGGAGTAATTAGGCCATGTTTGGTTGGGGGAGAAGCTAAGAGGGGAAGAAGAATGATTGTCGGACTGGAATAGTTCGAATGTGTATGGTTGACAAAGCGGTGAGAACATTAGTTGGGTGAAACATGTGCCAGATTTGGAAGAAAGCTGAAAGAATTACTAAAGTGCGACTAAAATATACCCATATACCAAAATAGAACTTTCAATATTTTTATACCAAAATAAGATTTATAATATCATAATATTTCTGTGTAAAGTGTCAAAAACTGTAAAATGCTAACATAGATTGTCAATTTATGGCATCACATAGGTAGAATATAAAGCAGGGAAGCTTAGATTTCTACGGGGGCTCTAAATTTGGAAGGTACTCGTATTTTGCTGGAATTATATTTATAAGTGTAAGAAGATCTCATAAATAGAGAATGTTGATACAAACTCTTGATCAATTTCATTAAGGGCTTATTTATAAAGTTTTGAAGATTGACTGGGTTCTACAACCACTGCAAAAGAGTGACTACGGAGGACACTGTCCCAAATGGGATACTTACAATATTCAATTGGCAAAATTGATAGTTCCTAACCTCTAATCCCCACGGTAAACCTCCCACCCCGTCCCGACCCCAAATCATTCCCCGTCTACGTCAATTACACCTTAGTTGATTTTTGGGTCAATTTTTTTAAATCTGAAATCAACTTAACTTGCGAGATACAATTGACTTGGGTTTGGGATTAGTGGTAGAAAATACCAATTTTACGATGGAGCAGCTCAGCAGCGTAGGTGTCCCAATTGGGATAGTGTCTTCCGTAGCCACTCTTTTTTAGTGCTTGTACAACCTAGCCGTTTGAAGTTATCGCTAGAAAATTTGAAAAAATGATGAGTTCTTAAATTTGAAATGAAATTATTTAGAGAGATTTAAATTATGATTTAATTAGTGATAGACATAGTTTTCAGAACCGAACCGGTGATCGAACCGGTCAAGGCACTGGTTCACTGGTTTACTGGTCGAACCAGTGGTTCGAGTGGTTGAACCAGTGGTTCAAACATTTTTAATATATATATATATATATATATATATATATATATATATATATATATAAGTAAATAAAATAACATTTTCTCTTTTTATAAATAAAAGAATTGATTTACAATTTAACTTAATTTACTTGAGTTGTGTCTTTAAATAAAAAATAAAATTTACTTATTTAAAAAAACTTATAAATAAAAAGTAATTTGAATTTTTTTAAAACTTTTACCTATAATTTAAATAAATATATATAAAATATTTGTGTGATATGCACTTCATATAAATTACATCAATGGGTTTGAATTTTAGTAAAAAAAAACTATATATACTTAAAAAGTATTTGATAAAAAAACCTAAATATAGAATATATTAAGCGAATCGTAGAAAGTAAACACAAAGCAGGGTAGCCGAGATGGTCTCAAGACGCCTTGTCCACCCCATCAGTCCTGGGTTCGATTCCTGGGATAAGTGTTTTTTAGAAATCTTTATAAATGAGTTAAAAAACCGGCCGGTCCGGCCCGGTTATGAGGGTAGTTGACGGTGATTCAAATCATGATTAATATTGAAATCCCAAATTCGTGAGATATAAAAATTGCATATTTAGAAAATTAAATTTGTGATGTCTTATTTATTAAATATGAATTTGTTATACTCTACTAAACATAAAAAAATAATTTTGACAACAGAAGATATCAGAAATAACATTTTGTACAATAATGTTATTTCTACAGCACATTTGTATACTCTTCTGTTCACTAAGGTTTTGTACCCACACAAAATACAAGCGCAGTACTCTCATGATGTCTAGCACTACAATTTTGTGTGAGTGCAAAACCTTGATATAAAAAGGTGTATAAGAGTAGTGTGCAAAGATAGATGGTTAGTTTTGCTGGCAACCTAAAGAGTGAGAGTTCAGATCCTGAAGTTTTCTTTTTAGATTTAGTCATTTGTAAGTGAGATTGGCCCTAGCAAAAATAATATTGTTTTCGGATGCAACGATTTACCTCATTTACCAGCTTCAGAACAATAATGTGGCAACTAGCAACCCTTGGGGAGTTGGGGGTGAGGGGTTCGAGGGTTCAACCTTTAAAAAGTAGGCTAGACAAACACTTGGTCATGTCTGGTTCGTCATTTTGAGTTTAGGTTACATCGAGTTTGGTTAAGTTTGTATTTGAGTTTAGAACTACATATTCATGATCTAGTGTTATTGGGTTTAAGTCGACACATCGAGTTATGAGTTTATTTTTAGAATATTAAAATTCAAACTAACATTGCTTTTAAAAAAACAACAAAATATCACAATACAAACATTAACGCTCTTAGAATATCTTATTTTAAGATTTTAATTACTTTTAGATATATTTAGCAATAGTATGAATAATATACAAAATTAAATATGTACCACTTTTGAAAGAAATAGAAGATAATTATGTGATATCTTTATAACAAGTTTTTAAAAATACAAGTTTACACTAAAAAGGAGTAATAATAATAAAATTAAAACATAACTTTATTTTTAATACATTACGAGTATGTTACCGTACACGACTTTAAAATTTTTTTCTATTAACAAGTCAATCAGGTGGGGTTCGAATTCGATCGGATTCATGCTATTTTTAGCTAGTCATTCCATGTTTTTATTATCTTTGTCCGAAATTCCGAAATGGGCCGATGTCTTTGGAACACGGGACACCTTTCCAACCAAGCGCCTCTGGTGGGGGGTCAACGAATCCGGTCCAAACTCACATTACCACTCGTCTCAGTGTACCCATCCGGCGGAATCACAACCACTCGATCCTCTTCACTCTCCTCTTCTCCGTATAAATTCACCGCGCCCTTTTAGCTTCCTCTCCATCCAATCCAATTCTCTGGCACCAACAAACCCAAGAAGAATATAAGCAAGAATATCCCCCGTATAGCGTCTGGATGCGCAGAATGATTTCTTGAACGAGATTCACACGAACAGCGATTCCGAGGAGGGTTTGTGAGGAATCTTTTCTTTTTTCTTTTTGATAAAAAAGATTTGATTTTTGTTGCGTATCTTTTTGCTGCCGCTGTTGTTTTGAGAGGCGGGTAAAATCCCGGGTGAAAGACGTTGCAGAAATCACGGCTATACACGGAGTACGCCGGCGGGGAACCCTTCTTCATGGCCTCCGGGCGCTACGATGCAAGGGTTGTCTGAGTGATTCCAACACACCTTCACCGCACGGTGGCCGCGGTGCTCTCCCCTCCGAAGGCGGAAGCCCTTCTGACCTCCTCTTCCTTGCCGGCGGCGGGTTTTCCTTTCTCCCCATCTGTTAGATTAGCCTGTAGATCGTTCTTCTCGTTTCAATTCCTGCTTTTCTTGTTGCCCAATTCATTCGATCTGTAAAAACAAAATCTATTCTCAAATCCTACCGAACAAAAAAAGTCTCTTTCTTCTTCCATAATGATGCTGAAGATTAAGAGGGTTCCTACGATTGTTTCCAATCTCCAAAAGGAAGACGGCGAGGATGGTTCTGTTCGTGCTCCTGGATGCGGTAGGAATTGCCTCCGCCCTTGCTGCCTTCCAGGTACTACCTTAATTTTCCCAAAACCCCACAAATAAAAGTAGCCTTTGTTTCCCCTTGTTTGTTTGCTAAGATTTTCCATTCCCATGTGGAGCGAAAGATTCACTATTTTTTGGCTTTGCATTTTGAAGTAGCAGTTGGTCAATGCAACTTTTGATGAACCGCTCTATGTCTTAAACATAGGGGTTAGAGTGCGTACATCCGACCCCCTTACCCTGCAATGGACGGGAGCCGTTGAGGCACTGGGGAATGTTGTTGTTTGTTTGTTGTTGCTTGCTAAGATTTAAGGTTTATTGGTTATTGCTTGGAATAGGTTCGAAACTTCCATTGTATGCTTTCAAGAAGTTGAACCATTGCAAGACTGCCGAGGAAGATGTAGAGGAGCCACCCGTTGCTTTCTTGGATTCCCTTCTTCTAGGGGAGGTATTTTATTTACTTCTTCAAGATAAATTACTCATACTTTATGTTTTGTTTCATTCGTTTTGTTTTTGTCTTTTATAGTGGTTAATACGGATTATTAGTATATTTTCCACTAATATTGAACCATTGGATGTAGTGGGAGGACCGTATGCAGAGAGGACTCTTTCGTTATGATGTTACTGCATGTGAAACTAAGGTCATTCATCTTTTCTGCTTTGTGTTTTTCATCCAATCTATTCTAGTATTTTTTTCTCCTCAATTCTTTGTTTGCATATCCTTTGGTTCATATTTGGCTTGATTTCTGCGCACTCTAGTTTGAATTTGTCTTATTATATTGGTTAAAAGCATTAAAGACCAAAGAACTTAAATGGAAGTATGTGATGAGAACATGTTATAACTAAAGTACTAAACATCATAGTTAGGGAGGAGATAGTAGAAGAGTGTTTAAGGTGGTACTAGGGCACCTTCTTTGATCTTGTTTGGGTAAAAAATTAGCTAGGGCTAAGATCTACCCCACAATACCAAGTTTTCATTACCTCTGAACTGTAGGGAAATGGATTTAAAAAAAATTGCGATGAGAACATGGTAGAAACTAGCACCGTGTTTGGGAAGAGGTAGTAGAAGGGTGTTCATGGTGTCTTATAAAGGTATCTCATATGATCTTGTTTGGGGACAAAGTCAGTGGGGGTTAAGCGTTAGTACCTCACTACCTCATAATGCTATGTTTTTTGTTGCACTTAATATCGTAGGGGGGCCATGGTAGGTAAAGTTTACAACATATTCCTTCCGTTCGGATTTAGTTGTCCATTTTTAAAAAGGTTCTCATTGTAATAAATGAGTTTAAAGTGTCCAATAAGTCCTTCAAATGAGTTTGTCATCCATTCATGTCAACAATGCTCATATCATATCTCTAGGAAATTTTAGACAATTAATCGTAATTTCTTTGTTAAATATGGATAGGGGACAACTATTCCTGGACAAACTATAAGTCTAAAACAAAAATAGTGGACAGCTAAATTGGAACAAAGGGTGTATTATGTTGCTCGCTAGTGACCACGTTAGTTTACCTCATTTACTCAGAATTGTATACATAGTTACATACCTACCTTAATATGACTCATAGGTAGCCACCGTGCGTATGACAATTTTGAGCTTCTAAAAACTTTGCTTGATACTTTTTATGTGACTAAAATTATGTAGGTGATACCTGGGGGATCTGGCTTTATAGCACAGCTTAATGAGGGGAGGCACCTTAAGAAAAGGCCAACCGAGTTTCGAGTTGATCAGTTGCTGCAACCCTTTGATGGAAACAAGTTCAATTTCACTAAGGTTGGTCAGGAGGAGTTGCTATTCCAGTTTGAAGCCAGTGATGATGGGACCCAGTTCTTCCCTGATGCCTCAATTGATGCTGAGAGCTCTCCGAGTGTTGTTGCTATTAATGTATGATAACTGATTATGATTCTTTCAATTAGAGTGCTTCTTATTCTCTTATCTCGGCCTTATTAAGACTGAATTTTAAAAAAATACATTATGGATTCATATATTTTGTGGCTACCTAACTAACCCAGAGTCAATTCATCCTCTTACAGGTTAGCCCTATAGAATATGGCCACGTCCTGTTGATTCCTAAGGTTCTGGACTGCTTCCCGCAGAGGATTGACAGAGACAGCTTCTTGCTTGCACTTCACATGGCTGCGGAAGCTTCTAATCCGTACTTCAGAGTGGGCTATAACAGCTTGGGTGCATTCGCCACCATCAATCACCTCCACTTCCAGGTACTCTCTCAAGCAACAAATGTCATATTCAGGGAGATTGTTTAATAGATTGATCGATCTCTTATGACTGTCACACTGCGTGTTATACACAGGCCTACTATTTGGCTGTGCCCTTTCCCATTGAGAAGGCCCCTACGAGGATAGTAACCACTGCTGCTGCTGCTGGGAATGTGAAGATCTGTGAGATTCTGAATTATCCCGTGAGAGGTCTAGTCTTTGATGGAGCAAGTTCCCTGGATGAGATGGCCAATGTCGTCTCGAGTTCTTGCATATGCCTCCAAGAAAGCAACATTCCTTTTAATGTCCTTATATCCGATATGGGAAAACGAGTTTTCCTCCTTCCTCAGGTATCCCTGTTTTGTCATGCTTGGCTATTATACCTCGGAAACTGCTAAGAAAAATCAAATATCATCAACTTTTTAATGGAACATACTCCATTCGTACATTCAAAAATGAATGAATGTAGACATAGCGTATGTCTACATTCATTCATTTTTTTAATGTATCTTGAAAATCATAAGGGACAGCTAAGATGGAATGTAGGGAGTAGGTTTTATATCATCATGTGATGCAAAAACCAAATAAACACTTGACTAAAATAAAGCACACCAGATATTCAGAACTGCCAGATTGAAATAACACTGAATGAGACTAACACAAACGTTCGTTCGAACTGGAAAACAGTGCTATGCAGAGAAACAAGCACTTGGGGAGGTGAGTGCTGAGTTGCTCGACACACAAGTGAACCCGGCTGTTTGGGAGATCAGTGGCCACATTGTACTGAAGAGGAAGGAGGACTTTGAGGGTGCATCAGAAGCAAATGCCTGGAAACTACTTGCAGAGGTCTCTCTCTCAGAGGAGAGGTTCCGAGAAGTGACTTCCCTTGTCTTTGAAGCCATCGGCGTTGCAGAGGATAAAGTGCACGGCGGCTTTCCCCTCTCCAAGAAGCCGCCGCCGCCAGACGTTGAGACTCAGCACATGGAAGATGAGATGGATTCCCTAGTTGGTGCCCATCCTGCTATGGTTCCTGTGTAGGGTTTCTCCTTTTTTTTCTTCTTTCTTTGGTGCATAGGGATTTTCTTGTTTGTTTGCTCTGTCATTGCAAATGTTTTGTTTTTCTCTGTGAACTTGTGTGTGCATGGCTTTCCCCATGTTGAATGGTTTGAATAAGGCAAGCCATGATTTTTTTTTTAAAAAAATATATTTATTTTGTTATAATTTTGTGAAATATTGCGTATTAAAGTGTGTGCTTTCCTTACCATGTTGTCATGGTTGGTATGTGATTGAAGAGGGAGTTGGCTAACAATTGTTCATGTCAGTGGGTTTGAATAATGGATATTAGTTAATGGATTTAATCAGTTATATATGTTAATTATTTATAAAAATTACGGAGTACATGATATATTGATTAGATAAAAACACTTTGAATTTTTTTTAAGATAAGTCTAATAAAATTATTTTGTATATCAATATTTGATATAAATTTTATTTTATTACGGAGTAATTGTTAGGGATTATCATTTTTTACACATACTCATATATTCTTTCAAGCTTTTTGAATCCAAAAACCAAAGCTTTAATAAGCCAAATGCAAGTTAAATGAATTGGTTAGTGAGTAAATATATTTTCAAATTAAAGAAGTTATAAAAGCACTAGCAAAATTATTTAAAAAATTTGTATATAACAAACTCAAGAAAAATATAGTAAATTAAAACTGTTATGTCTAAAATAAAAAAACGTGTTATCAATGCATTAAATCTTCTCCTCACGTAAATCACAACCTTAAACACACTCTTAAGCCTTAACATTTACTTGATCATGTGAGAAACCCAATACATTAACCAAATACGGACTGTCTAATTTTTTTCACACAATCCATGCACCAAAAAATACTTCCTTTTCTTCTTCCTTTCCTATACACTTTTCTTCTCTAAATATTATTTCCAGTAGGGTCACTTACTTTTGTTTGCTTATGAATTTTAAATTATCAATTTATAAAATATGGAGTAATAGTCCTATCAAATCATATTTTATAAAACTTTTGCATTATTTTTTCGTATGTACCTTTTTTTATTTCTATATGATTTTCAAATAAATTGAATTTAAAAAAAAAACTACTTATTTCAACCCACTATTTAAAAAAAATACGGAGTACTTAATTTGCTTTTTAATACCAATATCAATTATACAATCTTACTTTTTCTTAAATCCCGTGTCACTACATTATGTCCCCAGAGAATTGTTTTTGTTTGTCTTTTAAAAAGTTTAAGAAAATAAAATTGTTTAACGAAGGTTTTTATAAAGAGATAAAAAAAGTAATATAACACCCCTTTCTTATTTTCTTTCATGAGACATTTTTTGAGTCGACAAAAAAACAAAACTTTTTATAGACAGATGAATTTTTTTAAATCTCATAAATCCCTCTAAACCTCAAAGAGTCCTATTTAAGGGAGTGTTAGACTATATATATATGGTATACAACCAATAGTCAGTTCTGCTTATTTTAATGAAGAAAACTTAGAAAACAACCCAAGTAAGATGCATGTAGTGATACTACTTCATTTGGTGTCTATCCTCCAAACATCTGCCGCAACGAATCCGTTGTCGTCGTCGTCTCCCTGGCTGAAGAGAGTAGCAGCAGCAGGGGAGAAAAACCAGAGGGAAGCTGGGTGTGGGACCAGGCCATGGGTATGCAGCGCGAGCGAATCCGGCGGGCAGCGGCGGCGGCAATGCTGCCGGAACCGGTGCGTGGAGGTCACGTCGGACGTCAACAACTGCGGGTCGTGTGGGACCCGGTGCCGCTTCCCGCTGCAGTGCTGCCGGGGAGTCTGTGTGAATACCAACGTGAACCCACTTCACTGTGGGGGGTGTGACAGGGCATGTCCTCTTTTGCTTTTGTGTGTTTATGGGATGTGTGGGTATGCCCAGCAACCCCCACATCCTGTGACACCGCCTCCGCCGCCGCCGCTGCCGCCACGTCTTCCCTGTCCCTACCCGCCTGAGCCACCGTGTCAGTTGCCGCCACTTCTGCCTCGGCCTCCTTGTCTTTTCCCCCCATTCCCATTTCCGCCGCTTCGGCCAAATTGTCCCCCGAGGGGTCATAGTCCGCCGCAGAGGCAACAAGTCCTAGAGCTGTGAATCCAGAAGAATTTGTCCCTTTTTTTTTTTAATAAAAAATGTGATAAAAACCAGCTTAGTTCTCTACTACTCCGTACTATATATGGCATGGAATAAAAGGGGCTATTTTTCTAGTGGGAGGGGGGTAGGGGGTGTTTGGATATCATTTTCAAACTAATGTTCCCGTAGATATAAATATGAATAGTAGAGTGAAATATTGTGTACATCTGTTCAGAATTATAGATCATCCAAACAGAAACACTCAAAAATTGATGTTTGTATTTCATAGAGCAAAAGCAATGACAAAAACAGAGTATCTTTCTCTTGGAACAAAAACTTTTGAGGAGTTTCTGATTCCTTAAATGAAGAATCAAGAGACAATCTATGAGCATAGAAACATTTCCTAGTAGAAAGAAAAAAGAAGAAGATTAAAGAATACAATGCATATATCTATAAAGTGACCCATACGTTTAGATATATCAAGACCCTTGTGCAGGTAATAGTTGATTAGCTTCAGTGAAGCCATGGTTGATGTTCAGCTTGAAAACGGGTATTAAGGCGCCCCTGCATTTCAAGATTGTGGGGATCAGAGAGCAAAAACTAAAATGAAAAGAACATTTTAGAAACAAAATAAAAGGCATACTCAGAACTAACCTGGGGTGACGCCAGAGTCCTGTGGCTTGGTTTGTGCATCATTGGCCTTGGTAGGTTCGTCCAATTTGTTTTGGCTAGAAAAAATCAGCCATAAAGCCACATGAGAAATGCACGTTACTCTCCTTGCAGACATTGATATAGGATAGATGATGTTTGGAAACGTAAAAAACGACATTCTTATTCTGCTTTTCTAAAGCCGAGTCCTTTTTTAACCAAAACTTGATTGTGTATGTAGTTTAGCAGTTATGAAACAACTCTTATTGTGACAATAAAAGGAGTGTAAATTAAGGTCAAGAAATTACAGATCTAATTAGCAAAATAGTATAGAGACAAAGTACCAGAAGCTTGAACTAGATAATGAAATAGCACACCTTTCTTTGCTGGTAGCTTCTTCTTGTGGCTTCATAGCAGGAAAGAGTATGACTTCCTGAAAATGCCAACAAGGAAACATATGACTCAATATGAAACCACATTATCCCGTCATTTCACTTCAAAAATGAATTAGAAATACAAATCCAACCTTGATGTTTTGGGAATCAGTCAACAGCATTGCAAGTCGATCAATTCCCAATCCCCATCCAGCGGTAGGAGGTAATCCATATTCAAGAGCTGTACAGAAAGTTTCATCATAAGCCATGGCTTCATCGTCACCAGATTGACGATCCTGAATTCAATATAAAAGGCATATCTAATTAAGAAAACTCTTCTGCATAAAAATTCTTTTTAACCAATATACACTGGAATAGAGAAAGAGTAAAATAACTGCCAAATTTAGCAAGTGTACCTTGAGCTGATCAACAAACCGTTGTCGTTGAACAACAGGATCATTCAACTCAGTGTATGCATTGCAAAGCTGTAAGATTAGAGATATGATGCACAACATAAGAGCATGTTCAGTGATTAAAATTGTGACTAAGAAATTAAAAGAGAGCATATATACTTCGTGTTTGTTGATAAACAACTCAAATCGTTCAGTCAACCCGGGCCTAGATCTATGCCATTTTGCAAGTGGACTCATTATCTCTGGGTGATTGATGATGAAAGTTGGATTAACACACAGTTCTTCAAGGAAGTGCCCAACAAGCTGGCATTTAGATACATGAAACAAATGAGAACCAATGTGATATATATAACACTGAATTGAATGAAATACTTTTGTGTATCTACTTTCAGATATAAAAAAAAGAAATAGAATGATGATGTTCAACATGTGATACATAACCACGCGTAATCAAATGAAACCTCAAACAGATTTTAACTTTCAATTCGAATAAAAAAATATATAATGATGAACACATCATTGGTACAGAAATTGAAGGTTGGGGCTCATAAACATGATGGTCATAGGCCCCGTTCTCTTCAGCTTATGTTTCTCTTTATTTCTTAATCTTACTGGATTTGAATCAGGTCAGATCAGACCAGATCAACAACAACTTTAAATTACACTACAATCAAACCAGATCAGAGACACAGTTTAAAAAGATATTCCCTCCTGAGACAATACATGTAGTCATTGATTTTTGGCACGCTAGAAGCTGAGAAGAATAGGAACCAAAAATTCCAGCCTCATAAAAAACACAAACATGATTTTGAGAAGGCAAAAAGGCAACAAGCTAATTTGGGTACCTACGGAGTATATGGTTTCTCTTCAGCTAATTAAGGTAACTCGTAAATATCAATTTATGCACAGCGAAAATCATATAAGATGGAAAACGAAGTTTTCTTCAACTAAATGACATAACTAATCATTTAAACCACAATAACCAAAACTGTAATATATAGAAGTTCAAAACTTTTAAATATTTACTTTGTCAAGCAACCTAGACGTGGTATGAGGAGGTGCACATTTTATCTCAAACTTGGCACATGCATCTGCCAGATACTTGTTAGCTTCCTCACTGGCAAGATCCTTGGGTATACTGAGATTTGCTACTTTCTCCAAATCCTCTATCATGTCAATCCTTCTGTACAAAGTTAAGGCAGATGAAATTATTTCAAGCATTCTCATACAGTTACCCACATAGTGAAATGAAAGTGCAAAAGAAGTGACCTAAAAGGAGGCGTGAAATCAATCTCAATTGGGTCATTCTCCACACCGTTCGCGTGATACTTAATTTTATAGCCACCTGTGAGCTCCTTCACCATACCTAACCGACCGCCAAAAAATTGTTAAATGAAATTTCAAAGTGTATATACTATATATGAATTCAAAAAGTGAACACCGATGTGATAGGAATTGCTAATACTCTGTATATAACTTAGACACAATATTGCCACTCACCACTTAGCATTTGCTCCGTAAGACTCATCAAGTCATTGTAATCTGCATAAGCCATATAGAACTCACATGTAGTGAATTCCGGATTGTGTGTCAAATCAATTCCCTCGTTCCTAAACTGCTTCCCGATTTCGTAGACACGATCTAGTCCACCGACAACTAGTTGTTTAAGATAAAGCTCAGGTGCAATGCGCATGTAGAGATCCAATTTCAAGTCATTATGGTGAGTTACAAAAGGACGCGCAGCTGCTCCTCCAGCAATCATGTTCATCATCGGTGTTTCAACCTTTAGACAGTTAATTGAGAAAGTACATCAGTAAATGAAAAAAAGCCTGGACCTTATTTAAATATTCACTTGAATAAACTAATGGGTTACTGACCTCCTGGAAGTCAAGATTGTTGAGGAAGCTTCTTACAAAATTTATGATATTTGTTCTTGTCTTGAAGATTTGCCGGACCTCTGAGTTCAGCATCAAATCCAAATAGCGTTGTCTATACCGTGTTTCCTGCAAGGAAATGCTTCAGTCTATAGCTGAAGATACCTATGGACACAATTGAAAAGAAAAAAAATGGAAATAAGATTAAGCACTACCTGATCTCTCAATATATATGTATCTGGGTTTCTGGAACTTCCAGGGACCCATACATCAGTTTTCTGCATAACAAAGAAAATGTATCAAACACGGATAAATGCCCTCAAGTTCACAGAAAACAAGATTTCTGACCTTGGCTGATTCAGTCTGAGGACCCTTTTGTCGTGGCATCATGTGGAGACATGGAGATAAGACTATAAAAGATTTTGGAAAGATACTGAGCTCTTCCCTTTTTGACTTTCCTGATAAAGTAGTCAAAATTATTAGGAAATCATTTCATCAAACAAGTATCTCAACAAATCACATGGTCATGAAAAATAATATAAAGCTACACTAGAATATCATAACAATATGGGTACAGAAGATCGAACAGAAGCATAAATTTTTGTCCAATAACAAAAAATTATGAATCAAAATAAGGAACGCAAATGTAGTTTCAACCAAACCTGGGGATCCAACAACACCAACAATATCTCCACGTTTCACAGAAGAGTGAAGTTTAATAAACTCATCCTCATCCAAGTCAGATTCCCTGGATAGATACAAATTAACAGGTTAATAACTAAGGCCTTTCACTCGAAAAGAAAATGTACTGCAACTTGAGCATGGTATGTGAAAGTTAAACTAATGCAGATGTTAATTGCTTAATGTTTTAATATAAAAAATGAGTCCTTTAACTGACACATTCGTATAAATAACACTCAATTAAGACCTTGAAGCTTTAGCACAACAGAGTTCAAGTAGATTTGTCGGTACCTAGCACTAGCCATTACTTGAACTTTGGCACCCTTGCCATGTAAATCATAGAACAGAAGCTTAGAAGAAGATGCACGCTTCATCATAATCCGGCCTTCCCGGGAAAGAAAGTCCAAACATTAGTAAAGATCATTAAGTATATGAAAAGAAATGAATAAACATGTAGTCAGTATTTCCAAAAAAAACAGTTCATTTATGTTTTCTAAGCAAAAATACCAGCCAACGAGACTTGCTCTTCGAGACGCTCCCCGCTACTTAATCCCTTGTATTTCTCGATGAACTCCGGGATACACAATGACACCTGGAATTTGTGAGGGTGCGGATTTTGGCCGGCTTCCTTCTGATCATTGAGTGCTTTCAATCTGTTCTCATGGTATTGCTACAAAAGACTCAAAACAAAACAAAAAATGTAAACCAAACGTGATGCATTGATCTGGACCGGTAAATGGAGACAGGGAAGCAAGCATTACCGTCGGATCCATTTCGTCATCACCGCCGGCCGGCTTGTGTGATTTATCCGCTTTCCCCATTGATTGCGAGGTGCGTTTCTGAAGCGTCGCCGACGATGGGTATTGAGCTCTGCACTGTTCTAGGGTTGTGGAAGTGTGGAACTCTTTGAAACGACAGGGTTCGTATTTTGATGAAAAACCCTACGCACCCGGAGTCGCTGCTAGTCAAAGCCCAGTGTTAAGGAGGTGAAAGTATTTAGAGCCTCTTTGGTAAGTTTTCAATGTAGTTTTGATAAACATATTTATATTATAATATTTGACTAAAATTATATTAATATACTTGAGTTATTTTACTAAGTTAAAAAATAAAATTTACATATTAAAAATAAAGATCGGTTCCCATGACATTGGAAACCAATGTCATGAGATGATCCATGGTGCTCCGGTACCCCGTTCGTAAAATTGACGGTTCCTATCCCCTTAACCTCCCTGGTAAACCCCCCACCCCGCCCCGAACCGAACACACCTCCCCACCCCCTTCAATTGCACCCCCAAATTAATTTTAAAAATAAAGAATTGGTTTTATTTTTTTCAAATAAATGGTTTAATATAAAAAAATACTCAAATGAAATCTTTGTAAAATGGTAATAAATTAATAATATCAATGATTTTGTGTTTGACTTATAACTATATAATATTATTTTTTTAAAAACTGAAAAGGAAATTTTGTACAATCTTATTTTAGTTATGAAATATTATAAAAGATTATGTGAACTTGTAACAAAAAGCATCCTTGCTTGAATAGTTAGGAACTTAATCAAATGTCTAACCGATCTTGTGTTCAAACCCCCCATCACCTGCATGTTTTGAAAAAAAATCGCAAAAAAAAAAGGTCCGACCAGTTCACACCGGTTCGGATTGTTTTGAAGCTGGTTACGATCCAAATGGCTAGACTAGACCGGTTGGACCACCAGTTCGCTGGTTCATGGTCCAAACCAGTCCAGTCCGGTTTTTTAAACCATGATTTTGAGATATGATAATATATGAGTTATGAAATTAGAGAGAAATAATATGAGTTTTAAAATCTGAAACGAATTTGTTTGAAAAATATTTTAAATTATGATTTAATTAGTGATACGCGAGGGTGATAGACAACAGAGGTGGTTGGAGACGACAGTGGTAGCCGGTGATGTAGAATGATCAATAGTTGAGAGAGATATCAAACATCCATATTGATATTTCCTGAATTCGAAAGATATTGAAACCCTTCATTTGAAAGATTTATTATATCTGGAGATATCAAATTCAATATCTTTTTTGGTTTCACCAAACACCCAAAAATAATTCTGATATCTGGATATATCAAAACTCCTATCTTGCTTGCTCACCAAACACACCATTAAAATGGGGGCTCTTAAGTTTTTTTTCTACATGACTCTAAAACACTTCTAATGTTATCATCTTTGCCTTCGTCTTGTCTTTTCAATTATTTTATATTATTCACCATTATTAATTAAAACTTATATAAATTTGATGATTATATTTGTTTGTTGATAAATAGATAAGTAATAAAAATGAAAACAAATGTAACAATAAAAAATAAGAAATGAAATATAAAATACGTAACAACGAAATTAAAAAGTAAACAATAAAAAAATTAGTATTAAAGATTAATACAAAGTAATAAAAATAAATAAATTTAAAATAATACATTCAAAATTAACAAAGTTCAAAAAAAAGAATAACATCAATTAAACATTAATTATTGAAATTAAAAAGGTTGAAATTAATAAACGAAATTGAAGGTATAGGTTAAAAATGGAATTGAACAAGAAAAATTAAAAATCGCTTGAGTAGCGCGGCACTGCAATGGCTCCCGCTGCAAGCCATTGCCCACACCGCAATCCCCGCCCCATGTCTAGCGCTTGGCCCGTGTTGCGGTGTTGGACGGTCCTTCGACCTCTGCATTGAACGTCTTTCACGCATCGAAAGCCTTTGAGCTGTGCAATGATTTTTTTTAAACTATTGCAAATGTTTTTATTCTTTCAGAGGTTTTCCAAAAAAACAAAAATAGTGTAGTTTTCTGAAGTATTTTCAAAAAAGTGTTGCTAAATTCACACTATTTTTAGCTAAATTCATTCCTTTTATACTAAATTTACAATTTTTCTTTAAAAGATGGATTGCATATAAATTAAAGTTCGTCTTTTGCATTTTATGGTACAATCTATCTACGGAGTATTTATTTAAAATGAAATATATTGAACAAGGTGGGAATTGATGTAGCAACACCCTTTCGAAAAAATTAGATTTTGTTTTTGTTTGTTACTTTGTTAACAATAACAACAAACCTTGTGAAATTTCACAAAAGGTAAAGCCTAGATAATATGTGTATATGCACTATATGCATATCTTATTACTCCGTAAAACATACAGATGATATTTCTTTGTCCCAAAAGTAATTTATATTTTTATTATTACAAAGTACAAACTCTAAAAAATCCTTGTTTGTCTGCATATTTTTATTGATCATATAATACAATAAAATATTGATGTCATCTATTATTTTTGTAGAATATTTGGTATAGGTTTTAAATATGTAAGTTTTATTTTTTATTTTCATACTGATTTGTAAATAAAACCATTTTAAAATCACAAGATTTTGCACCCCCTTCGATTAGAAAATATTATTTTGAGATCAAAGGAATATGTTGAGGAGACCCCAATTTTTTTGCTTTTATAACATACGGAGTACCTCATAAATAATTATTTACTCCCTCCGTCCCGAAATATTTGCAACGTTTGCTTTTTCAGCGTTGCGGGAACTTTTGTTTATTTCTATTTTTCATTGGTTATTTGATAAAATAAAATATTTTTGACACCACTTATTTCGAAGAACTTTTCATGTAGTTTTTTAATATGTAAATTTTATTTTTTATTTCTATACCAATATGTAAATAAAATGAATTGAAAAAACTTGATATTTTGCCTTGGAAATACAAGTGTGGCAAATATTTAGGGACGAATGGAGTATTTAAGTAAAGGGACGAGCCAAATCCTTAGATCCCATGCCACTCGCCCATAATAGCTTAGAAGTAGGTAAATTAAGGAGTGTGTATTCAAGCCATGTTTTTTGAGGTTAGAATTTCATAGTTAGATGTTAAAATAAGTTGGAAAAAAACTAGAAAAAAGTTAGAAAAAATGGCAAGGAGTTGCAAAATATTGAAAAAATTTGAGTATTAAAGATACACTCAATTAAATGATCATCCATATAAATATATAAGAAAACTCTAATTTTAGATAAAAAAAGTATCATTTGTCCGTGCTTGAGGTGATATGTTACAAATTTGGATATATATAATGTTATTAAATATTAATAATATATAAATATATTTTTAAGTCATTGTAAGAAGAAACTCGAAGGAGTTGAAAGAAACTCAAAAGAGTTGGCAAGAACGGTAGAAGTTGGAAGAAGTTGAAAGTTAGTTTTTCCAACTCAAAAGAACAAACTAGAGAAATAGTCGAAAATGACGATGGAAAATAGCGGCGGAATTCCTTCGGCCGTCGGGATGACGGATATGGCGATGGATTATAGTGGACTCCCAAACATGTTTGGGTAAAATTGGCAAAATGTGCGTGGATAGCCTTCAAATCCTTGGAGGGGAAAAGGTGAGAGATAACCTTGAAATCTTCGTTGTAAACGGTTTGAGATAGTTATTGTGAAATTTCCGAATGATTCCTATTATCAAGGGTTGTTTCCCAAATCTAGTGTGGTGCTTTGACGGAGTTCAAGATACAGAGACTTAGTGGATTCGAAAAAAATCTTTAAGGAAGAGCCTTAAGATACTGGAGTATGGAGTTCTCGAACTAGTATAAATTAGTGTGTCATTATTTTACACTTTTAATCTATGCATTTTATTCACTATTTATGCGCTTTCTAATCACCGATTTAATTAAACTTCGAAAAGTGTTTAAATGCCTTATTCACCCCTCTAATGCGCGGGTACATCGACTAACATTCCATTCATCTTTCTCATCTTGATATGCTTGGTGGAACAATCTAGATGGAACCTAGAGCCGCACGATGCTTGCCGTAGATCGTTGATATCCAGAGGAAACTCTTTAAGCAACGTGAGAATACGAGCGATAATGTTAATGTGGTTTCATTGCGAGCGAGACAGATTAGTTAGATCTTGTACTTTGTGCTTTAGTTTTTTTTTATTTGAAAAAAATTGAATTAGAGAGCTGTTTTAAAAAAGAATAAAAAATTTTGGATCGATTGATTCATTCGATAGTGAAATAGTGAGTAATCTCTTTTAAAACTATCATCCTAAGTTAACATTTGTGATTACTTTAACAATTAATTAATCAAATTATACACACACACATACATGCGTATTTCTGATATGTCAAATATTTACACCCTCTTTCTCAAATTAGTACTCTTGGTTTGACTCTGCACAAAGTTTAAGGAAAATAAAATTGTGTGGTTGAAAGTGATGCAGAGAAGAAAGGAAAAAGGTGAGCCACTAAAAACTTTACAAAAAAAAGAAAACAAAAGATTAATCCGGGGTAAACCAAAAAATAAACAAAGATGATTAATTTGGGACAGAGAAAATATTTTAAATATATTCCTAATTTAATTTTGGAAGGGAAAGAGTAAAATATTCACTGTGAAACCCTACCTGTAACGCCCCAAAATATACCCTAAAATTTATTGAATTAAATATTCAATTAAACAAAATTTGTTTTGATTAAAATAAATTATTATTGGGCTTTGGGCCGATGTAAAATATGTTTTGATATCCAATATTAAAATATGAATAAGTCTCATAGAGATAAATACAACATGTTGACTTATTGTGTGATCTTGATTGGGAACTTAAGTACAGACCCAAATTAAGAATAAATGAAGAAATTGTTTATAATGTGAACTTTGAAATGATTTATTGAAATAAATCATGGAAATAAATAATATGAATTAAATGTGAGAACTTTTTGAATAAAAGTCAATTAAACCAATTTTGACTCTGTCAAAGTCAAACACCCAAAAAATATGATGTTGGAAAAAGTATAACGAATAAATATAAAAATTATATCGTTGGATAGAGTTTAATTGTACGATCGCAACGGTGCAAACGGATTTCAATTCGGAGAAAGTTGGACCAAAAAGTGTCCCCGACTGGGACCAATTTAATTCCAATCAGAGACTTGCGTTTACATCCCGTAGAAATCAGCCGTCCGCTCCACTGAGACGCCAAAACAGGAGAAGGGAGGTCATCACCGTGTCTTCTTCCTCTTCACTTGGCTATATAAGGACCATCTCCATTCCTTCAATTCCTCACTATTTCTTACAAACTTTCTATCTATTATGTTGGTGAGAGTGACGAGAACGCAGTGGTGCTGTCGTATTGGTGTGAGGTCGCCGGAGTAGAGAGCTATCATCGCCGGAAGTTTCGCTGGAAAATATTCAAAACCTTCATTTACCTTCGAGGTAAGCCCGTTGATATATCTAGTGACTAGAATGTTTGTATAGATCGTTTCTACGTTCATAAACGGTCGTTTGGTTGAGTTTTGTGTTTGACATGCTTAAAGAACCAAGAATCATAAACCATTAAATTGATGTTATATGAATTAATGATGCCAAAATGATCTATGAACCTTGGAGAACATCTCTATATAGTTTCGTTGAAATTCAATAACTAAAAATGGTATTTTCGAAACTGGACGCGAATGAAGAAGAAGATGAACAGTAACCAAAAACCAAGCTGTCTGAATCGATCCAAATGGGTGGATCGATCACCTGGGTGTAATTTTTCATATCATGGATCGATCTAGAGGGCTGGATCGATCCCCCAAAGTTCTGATCCGAAAATTTGTCTGAAAATGCTATTTTTGAGTTCTAAAATCCTTTTTTTGATACCAATTGATTATGATCATTATAAAAATGATTTACCACAATAAAAATGCTGTTTTTAACAAATAAAAATGTTATGTGATGCATGACGGTAAGTTCGGGTGTTAACACTCGAAGCTAGGCCGCTAATTGTTGAATATTATGTTGATTGATGATTATGGTAATAATTATTGGTTGATGATTATGATGATTAAATCTTGATAATTGTTCTGATTAAAAATGGTAATTGTGAATGATTAAATCATAATGAATACATTGATGATTGTGAAAATAATATATATTGTTAAAGGTATCTAGAAGACCTCTAAGATATACCCAGATTAATGTTGATTTGAAAGGGTATCTAGAAGACCTTTAAGATATACCCATTTAAGTTAGGCCTTGCGGGTATGATGTCCGGTGGCTAGGGTTAAAACACACGTACGGGATCCAAGAACCAAACTTGAGTACCTACTCGTTTGGGGGTACCACCCACCCAACAGTGAACACTACGCTGTCGGCTTTTGGTTGGCCTTAAGTGAAGGTAAGTTTAAGATTTCCAAAACCCTTTTATCTTAAACTAGGCCTAGCTTAAGGATTATTAGGAGTACTCTGTATACTGGAATATAGTTTAATTAGTTAAACTAGAATTCATTTAAGAGTTGACAAATATTAAAGTGATTGGATTTAGACTAAGAATAGTTTAAGGATACTGTTGAATGACAAATGATGAATATACATGTTGAATGATTGAATAATGAATGTTGAAAATTTAATATTGATTATTGAATATCTGAACTGAACATTATGTGCATGATATCAAATGGTTGATTATGAATTGAGATTCAATTTATGTGGATGTTCGACGCATTAGATATGCTTACTCAGCTTTACCGCTGAGCGTGTAGTGTGTTTTAATTGCTACACGCAGGTCAATAGAATGATGTGACGTGATCCTGGAGGCAGACGGAGGCGAGATAGTCGTTATGGATGTGATGGTTTTGAATTAAAGAATATAAATAAATTATGTTTGTGGTTATGATTTGTTAAGCTTCCGCAATATTGAAAACTCTGTACTGTTTATGATATGAAAATTATTATTATGATAAATAAAAGTGTTTGAAAAGTTTTAAATTTTACGATTACCAAGTTAATACTTTAATCCGAAAGGGGCTGCAGACCTGAACGGATTAGGGTGTTACACTACCTTTTTAAAGGCAAAAGGGAATACCCAAAAAACAAACATCTTCACCTTTTTTAAGGACAAAATGTACTCTTAGAGTACGTTACTAGAAATTTTAATGACAACCGGAGTATGTTGTAGATAATATGGGAGCAAAGAGTTTTTATAAGAAAATCGAGAGTACCACGGAGTTTATTTCAGATAATGCAAGACCCGAGACTTCTTACCATATTTTGGAGTAATTTTCTGAGTTTGAAAGATAAAAGAAAAAAATGAAAGGTTTTTTTTGTTTGGTTATAGATGAAAAGAAGAAAAAGTGAAAAAAATGTGAAAACAAAATGTATTTAAAGGAAAGAACAAACTATTTTATTTGGTTTTCTCTCCAATTTTCCTTACATCAAACATAGTGTAAATTTTGAAATGTTTTAGGGTATTTCGTAATACGTGTTACAAAAATATTTTTTCCACCAGTATCCGTAAATAGATTTTCGCGTATAAGTCTGCATCCTCATAAATATATTAGATACTCCAACAACAAAAAGGCATTTGAATTCCACGAGAGTAGTATTTGGAGAGGGTGTGTGTACGCAAACCTTGTCTACCTCTACCTGAAAGTAGAGAAATTATTTCAAAATACCTCATCTCAATCAACATAGATAATAAAAGACTACAAGAGATGTACAACGGAGAGATAGCACATATAAAACATAAGGCAAAAAACAAGCTAACACTAATAAAAGAATAGTACTCTGTACTGCAAACAAAATGCACCAGACGTACAAGGCATACAAATATATTATATATACTCCGTAATCATTAATTTTATGACTTATTATTTTATTTGTAAAAATTTAACGTTCAGTTTGTGCAAAGTATGCATGCACACGTGATATTGGCGGTAACCATCTCAAAGAAGTGAGGTTATGATGGTATTAGCCTGCGAATGGAAGAAGGTGCAGACTTTTTTTTCATAATGAACACATTACTCATATGATTTATTTCAATAAAAAAATTCTAATAACAAATTTTTTACGTTTTTAGCTGGGGCATGAAATTATTATGAGTTTCACTGAGGTGTGATTATACCTTTTTATAAACTACTACAGTTTCTATAACCCCTTTTGCTCAAACATATTACAACCATTTGAGAAAGCGAGTTTTAGAATGCAACTCCATATTGTGATCAACTGTGTCACATTAATTTTTAGAGTTTGTTATTAATTTGTGTCGAATATACATTTATATTTTAAATTGAAATTTGGGTTTAAATATTCAAAATATGAAAATATTATTTTTTTTTAATATTTTGGTTTGTCCGATATTTTCATAAAAATGAATCTAATTTGAGACAAACCATAAAGAAAATTAATTTAGAATAGAGGAAATATTTAAAACTACGGAGTATATTCCTAATTTAATTTTGGAAGGAAAAGAGCCTAAAATATTAACTGGGAAACCCTACCTTTTTAAACACAAAAGGCAATTCCCAAAAAACAATCTTCTTCACCGTCTCTCTATTTACCCTTACCCAGCCACGCCTCTGTTTTCACTCCCCCCTGCAGACGGAAGCAGAGAGAGAGAGAGAGAGAGAACCAAATCCGAAGCCATATCGGATTCAAACGCTTCACTTTCCAACATAAAGATTCATTAGTTTAATCCACTATATCCATCGTTTTTGTTCTTGTGTTCGATCGCCCGAATCGGTGTGCTCCATCCAATTCATTCATATAATCAACGAGCTCGATCATATTCTGCAAGAGCTGTGCTAGGGTTTCGTTAGGGTTCTGAGTTTTTGTTTTCTTGTTCGATGGATTCTGATGATAATATGCACGATGCTAATGACGTTGAGTCTGTAGACGAGGATTTCTACAGCGATGGCGAAGGTTATGGCTATGGCTATGACTATGGGGAAGCCACAGGCGACAGTGATGAAGATGCTGACGACATAGACAACGAGCCCGAAGCCATCGATGATCCCACCCTCAGTCGTTCTCAGGTTCATGCCAATGTGTAGTTTTGTATTCTTATACCTTGCCCGACCTTTCAGTTTGGATTACATATACTTTTCAAAAGTTAGGGTCGTGATCTTAACTCTATTAGTTTTGTATCAGCTTATTATTGGGATTGGAAGTAAGATATTCACAAAAAGAAGCAGGTCATGCATACACGCTTAGATGGTTATGTGTACTGTGTACAGGGTAAAAATTGTGTTTTGTGTATGTTGGTTATCCCAGGCCAACGGTCTTGCATTAGGATAGGATATCATATAGTCATCCTAAAGTTTGCTTCTTTATTGACATGTATGCCACATGAGTCAAATGACTGAGTTGGAACTTGTTGCATTACTGTTCAGGGGTGATTCTTTACTTTTAAGGCAGGATCTAGGTGACAATTGTATGTAAGTTGCTAGATTTTGTCCAGATTCTTGCAACCTTTCTCCATACATGTTAGCCAATGCTTTTCTTGATCTTATACAACTCTTATATTTTATTTTTGGGAGTAGGTACCAAAATTGCATGGAATACTTCATTTGTAATACCGTTTAAAAAGAGTAAACTTTAATATTTGGTTTTATGTGTTACTCTTATATTTGATTGTTAGGGTAGCCACGTACATACCAGGATGGTACTTTACATGCAAAACTGTTAAAAAGAACATACTTCCATATTAGGTTGTATGTGTTTAAGTTACTTATGGACAATTTGCATGAAAGATAGTAACTCTATATTTTATCATCTCTTGTGCTTTCAATTCAATTCACTCTCTTTTGGGTTTAAAAAAATTATCTGTGCCTCCATGCTCAGAAAAGCTACTCCGTTTTGGAAGAAGAAGACATACACAAACGTCAAGAGGATGATATAAATAGAATTTCAGCTCTTCTTTCCATATCGAGGGTAGCAGCATGTATACTGTTGCGCCATTGTAATTGGTAATTTGATTCTTTTTGATGCTGCACTTTATACATCTTTTGATGCTGCACTGTAGAGGGTAAGGGTGAAGTTCGGATTATATTCAATTGCACCCATAATATTGAGTAGCATTTGGAAATGTCCTAATGATGCCATGGCTTTGTTATTTACTTGATTCCAAGTGCAATTTTCTCTTAGTTGACTCTTTGCTTCAACTATTATCTTGTAGGAGTGTGAACAAGGTGCACGAAGAATGGTTCTCTGACGAGGAAAGAGCCCGAAAAAGTGCTGGCTTGTTGGAAAATCCTGTTATTCAACTTTCCAGGGTTAAGGAAGTATGTAAACATATAACAGAGATTTTGTATTTCTTCCAACTGTATGCCTAAATTGCATACATCATATAATTGCATCAAACTTTTATTTTGCAGATTGTATGTGGCATATGTTTTGATAGATTTCCTTATGACGTGATGGTTAGTGTTGCATGCGGTCATCCCTTTTGTTCTACATGTTGGACAGGTTAGTTTCATGTAACATCCTTTCCGGTAGTGTTTGTAATCAATCCCGGTTGCTCCTGTATGGATACGCTCTTTCACTCATTACATGACTTATCTTTATGAATTGCCCAAGGTAAGTTGAAATCAATCCTTGAGGCATTCTACCTCAGTCTCATGAGGTGAAACAAGGTGTAAACCTCAATTTAATTTCAATAAAATAGTAAAAAAAATACTTTGTAATAATATACTCCCTCCACCCCAAATTAGATTACAATTTTCCATTTACGGAGGGAGTATTTGTAAGACAATGTATAGAAAAATACACAATATTGTTAGAAAGTGGTAAAATTAATACTCAATGGCATATCTAAAAAGATAAAATATGAAAGGTACTATCAAAACAAAATATGCATGACAAACATGTTTTGGGCTTAGATTCTACGTGTCTGAGTCTAACAACTACTATGAAAAGTTAAGTGTTTCGTCCATTGCGTCGACATCTACATTTGAAATGTAGTTCTCATTTCCATATTCAATGACATCACGAACCCCAATATCTTCATCTGTCATTTATGCCGCTTTTAAGATGTGTACCCCTATATACATAACTTCATAATAGTAAATAATGATCGCATGATAGAGAACTTGTTTAGGAGATACAATATCTTGTAATATTAAAAATCAATTGTTTTATTCATTTTATTAAATATGCTTAGGTCAGTTAATTCCCTAAGTGTCTAAGGCGTGCTAGACATAAAAATTTGGGACTCATTCTTACTTTCTTGTCCATAAATATTTATTGAGTCATATTACATTTTAAATTTATGAAAAGATTAATACAAAATTTAACTTTAACATCTGAGTTTCTCCTTTCGCTTTGTTAGTTTCATAATTTGATTAATATTTTTCTTCCTTAATTCTCCCCACCAATCTTCAGCTCTATCACCACACAACGCATATATACGCATATATAGAGATACACAAGTAGTAACTGAAGGGCATATAAAACATTTGGACTTAATAATTTGGCCTTACCACAATTACTGAAGAATTACAATATTAATAATATGTTCAAATAATTGTTAACATAAGTTTGGTGCTACTTTTTTTTTAAAAACATTTATTGTACACTAAGGGGTCTGTAGTTTGTGGGTGAGGCTAGAGGGTGCATTTCCGTACAATTATATACATGTGGAATACCAATACCAAGTATATAAGAATTGTACTGAGTAGGCTGACTGACAGAGGACAATATAAGGCGTGCCCCTGATTACAAGTTTTCATCTAAGGCGTGCTAAAGTCGGCAACTATAGTAGTGTTATCTCAAGAGTACATCGTGCTTGTGATCCTGTGTATATTTGAGCTTAAAAATAACACTTGTAGTTTTTTGTCTTTGTTTTGTTAGCTTACATTAGCACATCAATCAATGATGGCCCTGGGTGTTTAATGCTGAGATGTCCTGATCCATCCTGTGCTGCTGCTGTTGGTCAAGATATGATTGATCTGTTGGCAGTAGAGGAGGATAAGGAGAAGTATTACCGTTACCTACTTAGATCATATGTAGAAGACAATAGAAAGGTGAGCACAACTAGAAAGTGTTACCCTATTTAATCATTCTATCTGCTTTAGAGCTAATCTGATCATATTTTGTGTTGATTGAAGTATGAAAAAAATCTAGAGGATTTACATTGATTTAATTGTGCCATGCTAAACACATTAGAGAATCATCTAATTGGACAAATATTTGCATAGACATTCTGTATTGTTAATGTAACTGGTTCGAAACTGATGCATTACTGTTATCTACTTAGATCATATTGATCATACTATAGAGAACAGCAGAGAGGTGTGACAACCTGAAGTAGCAACCTGAACTGAGCATACTTTCATCTGCTTTAGAGCTAATATCTTATCATAACAATATGTTGAATAAAGTATGAAAAAATATCTAAAGGATTTACATTGACCTAAAGGCACCACAAACAATGCATGAGATAATCATCTAGTTGACAAATACTTGCAGACATTCTATACTGTAATTGCATGTGGTGCTTATAGAAACTATCCTTTTGGATACATCTATCACTGACTTCTTAATATGCCTTATATGCGCCTGAAATGTTTTTTTCTTTTTTTCCTACAGACAAAGTGGTGTCCTGCCCCTGGTTGTGATGCAGCAATTGAATATATTCTTGGAAGTGGGAGCTATGATGTCACATGCAGTTGTGCATACAGCTTTTGCTGGAATGTGAGACTCCTTTTATTGGTTGTAATACTCTGGTTTTTTATGATTTTTCTGGTGCTTATAGTTGTGAGGTGGCCATGGCAGTGCACGGAGGAAGCTCATCGACCTGTAGATTGTGACACTGTTTCCAAGTGGATTCTGAAAAACAGTGCCGAGTCTGAGAACATGAATTGGTAAACTCAGTCCCTCTTTGCTCAACCTTTCTCTGTGACACATTTTGGTTGCCATAAGATATACATGAATTGTTGTACAAATATTATTTTTTGAATAATTTGATATAGATATTTATGAATTTATGATAGCTGTTTTTGTTTTCTGTTTATTCGTTAATTGAGTGCTTAACTGATGTTGTTTGAAGCTTGTTTATAGCAGTACTTGTGTCTCTCATCTCAGGATTTTAGCCAATTCAAAGCCTTGTCCAAAGTGCAAGCGACCAATTGAAAAGAACCATGGCTGTATGCACATGACATGTACCACACCCTGTAAATTTGAGTTTTGCTGGTAAGGATTCCAATCTGCCTCTGACTGTTAAGTATAAACTGTTGTTTGTAGTCTATATCAATTATCTTTGTGATCTAAGTACCTCCTTGGCCTCCATGCATTCCCTCCTCTTGGCGTTGTGGATAGACCTGTTGACCTTGTTGTGGATTGTGATGCTGATTTTATCTCATTATTCTGTGAGAGTGTTTGACAAAAGATATTCGAGTAGAGTGTTCGGCAAATCTGGCTGTGATATGATTCTGAAACAAATTAAGTGTCCTTTTAAGAGCGGGGAAATGACTTCCAGAAAATGATATCTAGAAAATGAGTTTTGGAAAACAACTTCTAGAAAATAAATTCATCATCTGGTGTTTGGTTGAAAGATCATAATTCTGTGAGAGTCTTTGACAAAACATATCCAATTAAAGTGTTTGGGAGTTCTGGCTGTGATATGATTCTAAACAAATTAAGTGTCCTTTTGGGAGCAGAGAAATGACTTCTAGAAAATGATATCTAGAAAATGAGTTCTGAAAAAACGACTTATGGAAAATGAATTCATCATCTGGTGTTTGGCTGAAAGTTCAGAATGTGAAAAACTAGTTTTTTGTTTTTATAACATAATAAAACATGGTGAATTTTGATTTGAGAAGTATGAGAAATGTGCAAATAAGGTTCATTTCCCATTGACTTTGAAAATAATTTTCTGGTGACATTTTCCAGAACAGCCAAACACTGGAAAATGGGAAAATAACTTCCGGAAGTCATTTTCCTTCTCCCAAGTGGACCCAAACTAAAAATTAATTATAATCAAACTATATTTTTAGTATCATTGGATGATCTGCTACTGTAACTAATCAGCATCGGGAGTTAGGAGTTCAGAAATTCTTCTAGAATTCTTGCTAAACACCTTTGCTGCTATATTTTGTTTATAGATATACTTAGCTATCAAATAGAAATATCTACAAGACAATGACTAGCTTTTCTTCTTTACTTTTGTTCTTTAAAACTTTTTATGAAACTAGCCCCACCCCACCCCCCAAATAAAATAAAATAAAATAAAATAAAATAAAATAAAATAGATGAATTCGTTTCCTTGACCTGTGTATTCATTTTCCTGTTTGTGTAATGAAGTGGTACTCATCTAAGTCTGATGTTCAAGTTCGTATGCTATTTAATTGTTCTCTTCTCACTGCACACCTCAACAAAATGGTGCACATGACACAATCGCCATATCATTGAAACAGCCCCTCCACTTCTACTTTATTCCAATGCCCTCTTTCAATATCGGATTGACGACGTTCTTACTTCCGTAGTTTTCATTCATATATTGGCTTTCTTATTTTTCAAGAATTTTCACCTATTATAACTTATAAGTTTCGAGAATTGTCTCACTTATTATTGTTGTCCTCAATCGAGCCTAGTCAAGGTCCAACTTTACAAACACACGACTCACCCCCTTTTCTCTTATCTCCAATGGCTCTGGAGCTCTGTTCGTTTGAGTCTGCTCTTGTAATTGCACAACACAGAGGTATACCTTCGTTCAGGCGAGATTTAGTGGATGCCAGATTGGTCGCCTAGCTTTTTTTTCGTGGAAACGCGGGAGAAGAAGATGGCGGGAAGAAGCCTGAGAGAGGACGAAAGAGAAGAAGAAGATCGGAAGAAGACGAAGGGAAGATCGACTTACCCGTCCTTCCTCGCCGTCGTTGGTGCTGATTCATTGTTGCCGCGTCCAAGATCTCTAGCGGCTTCCTCCAAACCCTCTGACTCTCTAGTAATTTAGGTCAACTAATTTGGGCTGAGGTTATTAAAAGAGTATAGGGCCTTTACACCTATTAAGTATAAGTCTTTATTAAGAGAGTATTGGGCCCAAAATTTGATTTCACTTTTAAAAAGTTTAAAAAGCCCACTAATTTAGTAGCATAAAAAATACTTATTTTTTTAAGTATGTTTTTAAATTTTTATTTTTTAAAAACAATGTACTTTTTAATTACTTATTTCATACTATATGCTTTTATATTAGTACCTATAAAATTATTAAGGTTGTCATAGCCCACTCGCCCAAGGGACGCCTATGCGTGCGCCTAATTGCTTAGGCGATTGGAAGGTACCGGAGCACCCAGACTCGCCTAGCTGCCTTAACAACTATGATTATTTATCTTTTGCTCATTCGCCTTTTGTGCCTTACTCTTTGTCACTAATCACTATTCTTAGACCTGAGGGTCTATGGATGAAAAATGAATGCATTGGATTTAAATCACATTCTTACTCTTCTCCATCTCTCTAAGAGAACTTTGTGGTATGTCTATGAGTCTCTAGTTTGAAGCTTGGTTCCGATACAATTGCTATTTTAAAAAAGCTTGTGTCCGATGTGTATGGCTACATTTAGGTTTGTAAGCTTGATTATAGCGATACATTTTATCATGTTGCTAAAATAACCTATTTTGTACTGACATGCAATCCCATATATATCTCAAGTCCCAACACGTATATTACAACAAGAACAACCCAGTTGAATCCCACTAGAGTAGGGTACGCAGACCTTACCCCTACTCGAAAGTAGAGAGGCTGTTTCCAAAGAGACCCTCGGCTCAACATCGAAAGTTGCATTAATTGACTAACTGCTACAGTTTAGAGATCCATTTTGATTTATTCCATCACCCCTAACACGTATATAACCGCTCATTTACTCCCTCCATCCCAAAAAAGGTCCCTAGTTTGACTTGGAACAAAATTCAAGGAAAGTGAAAGTATGTGGTTGAAAATGATGCAGAGGAGAGAGAAAGATTGTAAGCCTACCAAGGTAGACTCATGCTTTTACTGGAAGATTTGAAGAAACTTCTTAGAACTAGGGAGGAGTTTGCTGCTATGGACAAACACATCATCTACTCCCCAAAGCTTGGATACCAATGGCTCATGGGACAAAAACAAATACCTTAATAGACTCAGATTGTTTGGAACAAGCTTACTATCCCTAAGCATAAGTTTTTTTTATGGTTAATCTGCAAGGACAGAGTACAGACTAAACAAAGGATCAATTGATACTTCCCTATTGATACTCTCTGTAAGCCTAAAAATGAAGACTGCCAGCACCTTATGTGTATATGTGCTTATACAAAAGGAGTGTATTTTAGGATTTATGAGTGGACTCACTACAAATTTGAGGGGGCTTCAATTGGAGATATCATTGATAATTTGCAGAGAATTAGCCCGGCTAAACACAGATTGGTAATGGTTGCTATCTTTGCTGCCTGTGCCTACTTTATCTGGAGAGCCAGAAATCATTTACTTCTCAGGATTACTTTCACATCAGAGGATGAGACTGTTCAGAAGATCAGATTCCATGTTTGCACATTTCTGACTGCTAAGGGAAGTTGCTTTGCTTGATCTACCTATTACTGTATTGGAGGACTAGATCTTTGTACTTTGTGGTTTGTTGCTGATATTATCTGCAGCTGGTAAAAAAAAGATTGTGAGCCACTCAAAATTCCATAAAAGGAAAGAGGAGCCTTTTTTTTGGGACGTCCCGAAAAGGAAATAAGAAGTCTTTTTTTGGGACAGAGGGAGTATTTTATGTGGGATTAGGTGGGCTCAGGTCTCCACACCATGACAACCCAAGAGAGATCTATTGGCCCAGCCTTGCTGCTTTTGCAACCCGTAGGTCAAGGGTGTTGGATCCCGAATGTTAACATTGAAATATCTAATGGTGTTTGAGCTTGTCTTCATTGCCAGTTTCACCTTTGCCTATATCTTCTTCAAGGACGTGCTTGCAGCCGAATTCTTAATCAGCAATGTACTCAACTTCTGGATTGGATCGTGAGCATAGACTGCACGGGTTGTATCTATGTCACCAACAAAGCTGTCAGGTTTCAGAATAAAACCAAGCTTCAATGCATCACACATAATTGTATGAATGCAGCGTGATCTCTATGTGTTTGCCTAGTATGAACTCCTGTAGCAGTCTCAGTTATTCTCTCGTCATCTCGTATATTTGTCAGACTTTTTCAGAGTTCAATTAGGAGTCTTTGGAGCATAGCCCAAGTAAGAAGAGACTCTTATAAGCACTCAAAAATTCTAACCTGGATCGGAAAACATAAATGATCAAAACAAGGACTTTTTCCATTTGTCTGCTTCTTCGTAATAAACAAGGATTATCATTCAGCTGTCGTCCAGAGAAATAAGTCTTTAAACAACACCAGGACTGCATGAAACACCAGTTTATCCTTAGGATTACACACCGGAGTCTATAGCTCTAATTAACACAACACGGCCAAAATCTAAACAACAAAGACCTATTCGTTTGTCAAATAATAATGCCAACAGAAGTTACACAAGCATTTTAAGTGTTATAAATTATAATAGCTTATAGTACAACATCCCAGTTGAATCCCACGAGATAGGGTCGGGAAATAATAGCTTATATTGATAACCCATAATGCTTGGGTAAACCAACAGGTTGAGTGTGAAATAATTGTATAGTATTTAATAAATGTAAAAAGTTTTAAGTTGTATTACTAGCTTATATCAATACAACTTAATACTTTTTTTAATACATTTTTTAAATATACAAATATTTTACTCTCTACCTGTAGGTTTGCCCAAACATTATAGGTTGGAACCCGAATCAAACCCAGTATTATTAAACCTGTACCCGATCCAACCGACCTGTTTGACAACTCTAGGGCTTATAGGAATGTAATGAAGATGCACTCAACAGTTAGATAATCCAAATACCTTATCTAAAAAATTGATTCTTCTAATTTAGCATTTTGAGCTCAGCTGTTCAAAAAGTTGAAACAAGCAGCCTGTTATATCCCCTAGTACTACACCTGATCCTCAAATCCTTAAACAAATCAGTGGAATCATGTCTAAGTGTTACGATCCTTTCTGGAATGAATTCTCCAACCCCAAACCATATTACTTAACCCTGACAACCTTGAGCCTATCTCCATCCTAAAAAGAGCCGTATACCCTGCCCAGACTACCCCACTCCCTACTTGAATCACTCCATCAAAATAACACGTTTTGTGCCAAAAGAAAAAAACCATAAGTCAATTTCCTTTTCATTTCCCTAAGCTAGGGCCGAAACACACCAAGCCAAACAACCATATTTCATCACCCAACATCCCACAAACATTGTCCCCCCCTTGTCCCCTAGTACAACCGAAATAACAAGCACAACAAGCCAAGGGATATTTTTGATTACTTTGACCTTTAAACCACCATAAAAGCCACCCTATAAAAGCCATATTTCTCACACCCCACTGTCCCCCACTATGGCAGAATGAATCACTCCCCAACCACCAAATATTCACCTCACTAGCCAAGCCAAAATACCCAACACATCACCCATCCATTTTGCCCTCTAATATGGCCGAAAATCCCCTTCCATTC